GTTACGCCTTCCGTTTACACGGCGACGATGGAATAATCAATGAAACCGCGTCTTTTTGAAGACGCTGTTGAAAGTGGAGCGTTTCCAAAACTATACAGTTTCATGTGCCGCGTAAACGGGGGTAACCGTGTCTTTTTGAAAACGGCTTCCGTTTGGCGCGAAAATATCTCGTATTTTTGATGTCGGGACTCCCAATCAACAATTCCTGCACTTTTAGTGACTTTGAATCCGTCCGTTATTCACAAAAGAAGCTTTTCCTCGTTATCAGTCCAAACGAGATCACTGAAATTTTTACGCTTCGCCACTTCCAAACAAAATGGCGACGCCTCAAGGTGTAATCGTCTCCGGATCTCTGGTAACAAAACATGTCGCGGCCAGGACTAGGCTCGATTACCAGCCGCTGTTCGGGAAAGGAGGGGAACGTAGAACGGACTCGAGAAAGCGGGAAAAATCGAGCCTAGGCCAGGACGTAACAGCGGAGGAAACAGAAATCATTTTCGTCTAAACGGTTCGAAACCGTGTACTTTTTGATACGGTTACGAAAGAATGCAACCGTGTCGATTCGAAACCGCGTCCGTGTAAACGCAGCATAATCCATCACGAAAACGGAGCTATTCGAAAACGCTTTTAAACCGAAGGAATTTGAAAACGCTAGCTTTGCGTTTTAATGTGCACGCAAGTTGCCCAAGAAAATCCAAAGAAACCCAAATGATGAAAACCAAGCACTAAGCTGACTTATATATAAATGGCAAAAATAAAAACAACTTTATTTAATTAGTCGTTAGAAAACTAAATGAAACTGAAATGCTGTATAGGACAGAAGATTTTTCTTCCACTCCCTTGCAAACAACAAGGTGTGAGTGGTAGTGAGATGGATGTAGACGTTGTTGGGGGAATTAGCTGACATGTAGACAAAATGAAGAAACGCAACTTATATTCTGAACGATAAACAGGAAGTTCTGACAATACTCTATACTCGTGAAACGCATGAAGAAGTTCTCGGTTCTCTCGCTCGATCTCGACTTATTTCCATGTGCTATGTCACGTAACCTTGCTTGTGTCCCATGATTCCACTACATGGAGGGGGCAAGGGTTGTCCTTTCTCCGTTGCCACTATGTAATGGTACTTCGTTCCACCTCTGCATCCTCCTTGAATGGGGCAGGAAGAATGAAAATACTACCCTCTGGACAAATATAGTTTCTTTTTTAACAATCCATTCAGTCATTATTACGATTATTTTTGACATTCAGATCAGTTGAACCATCTTGTTTTTGTAGATATTTTTGAGCTACCGTCCCAATTATCTTAACACGAATACAACTGTATTTTGGCAGGGTTAATGAAAATGAATTTACCTC